AGAGGATTCCATCATTAGTCAGTGCCGGTGTCAGCGCAGAAACACACGGCGACCCAGATGCATTCTGGGAGTGATTACCTCTACTGTATGTTCATGCACTTCCTGCTTTACTTCCTGTACTGAGACTTCCACTTCCTGTTCTGCATGTGATCCAGAAACCAGCTCATTCTCTTCATCCTTCTCATTTTGAACGTGCAACACTTTTGTTTTCATAACATCTGACGTTTGAAACATTGACGGCTCGTCTTCATCTTTAACGTTGATCGTCTTCACTTGAGGTTGGTCTTCTATCTTGTTCTGGTCAGTTGATGAATCAGACGTCGTATAAAGTTGAAATTCTCCATAATATTGAGTCTCCAAGTTGATGGACTCGTCCTCTTCATTAAAAAACCAGAGCTGGGACCGATTAAACGTTTCTCCAAATGCTTCGTCAACACGTTCTTGATCAAAACTCTCAATGCGGTTGTGGAACAACGCCGACAGCTCATTCTCATTCTGCTCTTGGGTTTCTCCAGTGGTTTCTTCCATTGCAGTTTCCTTGAGTTCATCTTTAATCTCAAAACTTTGGCGTTTCGGATCCCAGATTTGGAGTAAATCTTCATCCTCTTCATGGTTAATGATTTCTGGGATTCCAGCAGGAATGTCTTGGGTTTCTCCAGTGGTTTCTTCCATTGTAGTTTCCTTGATTTCTTCAACCTGAATAATTTGGCTTTTCTGATCCCAGATTTGGAGTAAATCTTCATTTTCCTCATGGTACGTCACTTCTTGGATTCTAGCAGGAATCTCTTGAGTTTCTGATCTGGTTTCTTCTCCTCCAGATGGAGTTTCCATTGCAGTTTCCTTTATTTCAACTTCAACACTTTGGCGTTTTGGATCCCAGATTTGGAGCAAATCTTCACCATCATCTTCATGGCACATCATTTCTGGGATTCCAGCAGGAATGTCTTGGGTTTCTCCAGTGGTTTCTTCCATTGCAGTTTCCTTGATTTCATCTTCAATCTCAATACTTTGGCATTTCGGATCCCAGATGTGGAATAAATCTTCATCCTCTACATGGGAAATCATTTCTGGGATTCCAGCAAGAATCTCTTGGGTTTCTCCAGTGGTTTCTTGCATTGCAATTTCATTGATTTCTTTGACTTCAATACGTTGGTTTTCCAGATCCCACATTTGGAGCAAATCTTCATCTTCTTCACGGCATATCACTTCTTGGATTCTAGCAGGAATCTCTTGGGTTTCTGATCTGGTTTCTTCTCCTTCAGACAGAGTTTCCATTGCAGTTTTCTTGATTTCATCTTCAACTTCAATACTTTGGCATTTTGGATCCCAGATGTGGAATAAATCTTCATCATCATCTTCATGGTTAATTATTTCTGGGATTCCAGCAGGAATGTCTTGGGTTTCTCCAGTGGTTTCTACCATTGCAATTCCATTGATTTCTTCAACCTCAATACATTGGTTTTTCAGATCCCAGATTTGGAGCAAATTTTCATTTTCCTCATGGCACGTCACTTCTTGGATTCTAGCAGGAATCTTTTGGGTTTCTGAGCTGGTTTCTTCTCCAGATGGAGTTTCCATTACAGCTTCCTTGTTTTCATCTTCAACTTCAATACTTTGGCATTTTGGGTCCCAGATTTGGAGCAAATCTTCATCATCATCTTCACGGCACATCATTTCTGGGATTCCAGCAGGAATGTCTTGGATTTCTCTTGTGGTTTCTTCCATTGCAAATTCATTGATTTCTTTGATTTCAATACTTTGGTTTTCCAGATCCCACATTTGGAGCAAATCTTCATCTTCTTCACGGCATATCACTTCTTGGATTCTAGCAGGAATCTCTTGGGTTTCTGAGCTGGTTTCTTCTCCAGATGGAGTTTCGATTACAGCTTCCTTGTTTTCATCTTCAACTTCAATACTTTGGCATTTTGGGTCCCAGATTTGGAGCAAATCTTCATCATCATCTTCACGGCACATCATTTCTGGGATTCCAGCAGGAATGTATTGGGTTTCTCCAGTGGTTTCTTCCATTGCAGTTTCCTTGATTTCATCTTCAATCTCAATACTTTGGCATTTCGGATCCCAGATGTGGAATAAATCTTCATCATCATCTTCATGGTTAATTATTTCTGGGATTCCAGCAGGAATGTCTTGGGTTTCTCCAGTGGTTTCTACCATTGCAATTTCATTGATTTCTTCAACCGCAATACTTTGGTTTTTCAGATCCCAGATTTGGAGCAAATTTTCATTTTCCTCATGGCACGTCACTTCTTGGATTCTAGCAAGAATCTTTTGGGTTTCTGAGCTGGTTTCTTCTCCAGATGGAGTTTCGATTACAGCTTCCTTGTTTTCATCTTCAACTTCAATACTTTGGCATTTTGGGTCCCAGATTTGGAGCAAATCTTCATCATCATCTTCACGGCACATCATTTCTGGGATTCCAGCAGGAATGTATTGGGTTTCTCCAGTGGTTTCTTCCATTGCAGTTTCCTTGATTTCATCTTCAATCTCAATACTTTGGCATTTCGGATCCCAGATGTGGAATAAATCTTCATCATCATCTTCATGGTTAATTATTTCTGGGATTCCAGCAGGAATGTCTTGGGTTTCTCCAGTGGTTTCTACCATTGCAATTTCATTGATTTCTTCAACCGCAATACTTTGGTTTTTCAGATCCCAGATTTGGAGCAAATTTTCATTTTCCTCATGGCACGTCACTTCTTGGATTCTAGCAAGAATCTTTTGGGTTTCTGAGCTGGTTTCTTCTCCAGATGGAGTTTCGATTACAGCTTCCTTGTTTTCATCTTCAACTTCAATACTTTGGCATTTTGGGTCCCAGATTTGGAGCAAATCTTCATCATCATCTTCACGGCACATCATTTCTGGGATTCCAGCAGGAATGTCTTGGGTTTCTCCAGTGGTTTCTTCCATTGCAGTTTCCTTGATTTCATCTTCAATCTCAATACTTTGCCGTTTCGGATCCCAGATGTGGAATAAATCTTCATCATCATCTTCATGGTTAATTATTTCTGGGTTTCCAGCAGGAATCTCTTGGGTTTCTGAGCTGGTTTGGAGCAAGTCTTCATGACAGCTTCTGCTGTGTAATGCTTGATCCTCCAGAACGACACCTTCTTCTCTACTTGAAGCCCATGAAGAGCGTCTCCCCATCGCGATGGCCTCACTCAGGGCCTTCATATACTTCTCTTTTTCACCAGCAGAGGGAGTTTGAGCCCGCGTCTCACAGCACACCTCCACCTGTGGAGCAACTGAACTCTGGGACAAAAACGGCACACTTCATGTCACTCTCTGTGTTTATTACAGAGCAAAACCACTTGCTTCATCAACAGCATCAACATTTAAATGAGCTCCGCCACATTGTGAGTTGAGAAAATTTACCATCCATAAATATTTCAGAAACAAGTGACCCCAAAGTTACCAACAAAGTGTGTGTTTGCAGCATAAAAGCTGTTGTGTCTCAGATTCGAGTCCTTTGGTCACAATTCTTCCTCTTAGACATTCCTGCATCTCTCTACTGTCTTAAAACGATGAACAACTCACTAGAGAGTGAGTAGAAAACATTAAAGCATGCAATATTACCGCGATGTGAACGTGAACTCTCTCTCACACGTCAAATTAGTTAATCCGCTTATTGATCTGTAAGATTTACAATACCTGCATGTTAATTTAATCCACCGTATCTGATGGACAACCGTCCAATGATCCTCTGGCTTGTCTTGACAAGATTCCTATAATCCCGTTTCATTCCAGAAGATCTGATCTGAATGTCTGTCCTTCACTAACCCCAGCGGCCGAGATATACAGTACGACCCTAGTGTGTTTTTGTTTCATAATTCAGGGTCTCGAAGGTTCTGTTTCAAGCTTCTTGAAACAACATAAATTTGTAGATTTACAGAAGGTCTTAAAAGAAACGACAGTAGTAATATTATCTATGATGAGAGAACGTCAAATACATCAACAAATCAAACAGCCACTCGTTGTGGAAAAAGCGTCAAGGCTTTAAATAAGCCCCATATGGATCATTTATATCATTTATGGATCATAATAAACAAGAAGAAGCAGTTGTTCTTTAAGAATAGAGTTATGTGTGATTTTAAACCAATGCAGCCGATCCAACAGACGTCGAGTAGAAAACCGGACCAAGATTCACCTGTGAACACAATGGTTTAGCAGATCTAAAGCTCATCTTATTAATCTCTGAGACAGTTTCCCAGACAGATTAAACAAATCCCAATGGCATCTCACAGTCAGACGGATTCTCCTCTGAAAATCCCTTTGAGTCTGAAGACTGCGATAAAACCCGCAGTGAGACGGACACGCCGAGTGTTTCATAAAGCACACTGTAGGAAACATGTTGACTGTGAAGGAGGGTTTACAGATTATGGCAAAAGTTGGATTCTTGCATGAGTTTCCATGGCACTGGGTTAAATAAGCTTCAGAAGATCAAGTTTGTTTGAGTAAATCACTTTTCCTACTGTATTTCAGAACCGGTTGGAATTACGTAAGTTTAGGGTGAAACAAATTTCTGGTAACACTTTATTTTGATGGTCACTTTTGAACTTTCTGTTGACTATAAGTAACTTTGCAACTAGATGTTAACTAACTCTCTCATTAGAGTATAAATAGACTGTCAGCTTAATAACTACTAACTCTTTATTATGATAGTCACCCCACAGACTGCATCTATATGTCAACTTATTCTATCCCTAACTGTCTACTAATACTCTACTAACACTCTAATGAGAGTTAGTAGAAACGTAGGTGCAACACTACTTGTAGTCAACAAAGGGACCATTCAAATAAAGTGAAACCTAATTTCTTAATTTGTAATTTTGTCTTTTTCTCCATTTTCTGGGGAAGAAATATGACTTGAAAATGACTTTAATTTTGGCATGAAATATGACCCACATATGCTCTTGTCTTAATAAAATAAATGCGAGCAGTGAATACATGCATGCATGATGTAATAGACAGTAATGTCTAACCTCAACATTGAGATCCGGCTTTACTGCAACATCTTCAGGTTCGGCTTTATCCTCCTCTGACATCTACAGACACAGAGACAAGGCCGATAAACATCAGAGTTGAATTAGCTAAACGTATAAGAGGTTGGTGGAGTGAAAATGCCTCTTATAAAGCATAGAATGAGTGATCATGCAGGAATAATCATCAGTCACGTTAAAACAAAAACACACACAGGATGGATGTTCCTTTCACAAACAAAATGCTTCAAACTAAATTCCCCCAGAAAGTTTAACTCTGCCTAGGAAACTAACAAACGCCTCTAACCTGACAGTCAGGAATTATGTTTATGGGTTAAACCACTTAACACTCTATTACGAGTCAATATAAGCTTAACACACAACCAGGTTGAGGAGTCAAGTTAGTCCTCAAAACACACTGTGAAATAAAGTTATTCACTCAGTTATTCTAACAGTAGTAGTAGAAATGTTAATGCAAGTTATACAATAGCTGCATGAAACAACAAAAATAAAAAACAATAAAAAATATATATAGCTCAAGTAACAATTAAGGGGCCAAGCACCACAGAGGAAGAATGAAGAGAGAAAATTCGTCAGACCAACTGCAAGAATGAGCAAAGATATTTGGAGACGTTTTTACGCAAATGGTTGAAAACCCATAAATACAATAACTTTTGACCAATTGGTGGCGCTGACAGCAAATTGAACTGGTGTGGTCAGTGTTGAGGCCATTTTTTTGGTCAAACTGTTCAGAAGCAAAAAAAAAAAAAAAGCAACAAATTTCCATATCTCCTGACCACTAGGTGGCACTGTGCTGAAACTGTACAGGTACCCACAGGTAATGGATGTCATAACACACACCAAGTTTGGTAAGAATACGCTTAAGTGCTGCAGAGATATAGCCTTATGTTAATTTTGACATGCTCTTTGTCAAATTTGCTAGCGCGTTATTTAAGATCGGTTTGACAAATCAACTTGAATTACATGTTTTTTGTTGCCATGGTCTGAAGATGATCTGAGCCAATTTTGGTGAAAATCAGCAAAACAGTCTAAGACTAGTTCGAAAAAGTATGTTTTTCGGAAAATTCAATGACAATCGAATAATCTTGAATTTAGTTTCTAGACCTTACGGTTCAAAAGTAATTATATTTGAACAGTTGGTGGCGCTAGAGGGATTGAGTTAGAGACTCCAAAATTGGTGTGGTTAATGTTCAGATTGTCCTCTATCAGTGTGCCAAGTTTCATAACTTTTTACCATATGGTTCAATGGGCTGCCATGGAAGAGGAAGAATAAGAAAAAGAAGAACACTAGCGGAAACAATAGGCACTTTTGGTGCTTGGCCCCTAAAAACACAGCAATTTAAGATTACACAAGATGTTCTACATCAATATATGATACAAATTCTAAACATTCAACAGAAATGCATGCCAGTTGTTCAAGTGAAGGGAGATTCGTTATTGGAACGATTTACCCAAAACCAAACAAATGCACCTCGTGTCGATCTAAACCCCATTACTGTTATTTCATTTTCTCCATTTGACGGCTCATATCAACTCCAAACACGAGTCCAAGCAACTCGAACAGTTATGATACAGTGCTTTTGTTATTTTTAGAGTTAATATTCACTATTGAAAAGCGCTACATGAAGATTAACTTCCATAAACTTTCATTTGTGTTCCACAGATAAAACAACATGAAGGAGAGTAAATTAATTTTCATATTTGCACAGATCTGAACTGAAATGGCCACAGGTCATGAATGCTTTGAATATAGAACTTTTTAAAGAAGACGTTATTGCAGAGTGTAAAAGAAAGTGTAAAAAAAGTTATAGAAGTTTAAGTTTAGCGTAAAGCAAATGTACTGAAGTAAAAAATAATAATTATACAAAATAATTTTTTATTAGCCATATGTCTAACCAAGTTGTGTTCCAAATTTAAAGTTGATGTCACAAAAATGTATCTGCTAAAAGTTAAAGTGCCATTTCAAGCCAGTTTTCACAGGATGAATGAGTGTTTAAGCTTCAAAATCATGCGTAATTTTGATGATTACTAAAATATGTGACGCACGCCAAGTGTCCCGCGACCAGTTAGCAATTAAAGTGCAGCTTTTCTATATCTGTTGTTAAATGAACATTAGTGTCACTCCAACCGCACACGTCTTACTTCCAGTGCGCACACGAGTGGTTTAATGGATGAAGACTCGTCCAGTCGAGCACAGAGTCGAGGGGACGAGGACAGTCTCATGTCCCACTCATTCACACCAGACGCTTCACAACGCATCTCCAGAAACGACCTCTTCAGCTCGCTGACGCTCAGCTGATGCTGCTTTAGTTCTGTGGGCGTGTCTGTCTCCTGATCCACCAATCACAGCACAGCGAAGGATCAAAATGGGGCAGGGCATTACAAAGATTTCAAACAAGTGTCATTCGCTGCGTCCGAAATCAAATACTTCCCTAGTGTATAGTATGCGCCAACAGAGTCCGAATTCACAGTAGGCGAAAAGTAAACAGTCAAATCAAAAATTATTCAGACACCAGATATAATTTTTGATATTTTACTAGTGTGTGCAGGACACTATAGTTCATTTATGTAAGTGAAGAGAGCAAAATAAAGTAAACTGTGACATATTACACCTAAATATTCGCCATACAGTGACTACCAGTGACATTATACACATTTGGGAGCAAATATTATGCTCAGCTGATCATGTTTTGCTGAAGTGTGTTTTCTGTAACTGCTAATGCTCTTTTTACACACAGACTGAACAACATGAAGCATTGCTTGGTCACTGGTTGAGCTAAACTGGTATTATCTAATTGTGTAGTTAAATTTAACAGCTGACAGATATTCAACATAATTCATGTGTGAGAGTAACTATAGCGAATAAACTGTGATAATGTGAGAAATGTTGAAGGTGTCTGAATACATGTAGGTTTGACTGTAGTTCTCCCGGTGAGAATCTGAAGTGTGCATCTGATACTATCCCATGAGGCCACGGGGTTTATGAATGCTAGCGAAGCGACGCAACTGACGCTGGCGGGTCACGTGACAATAACAACATGGCGGATATATGAATATATGAATTTCCTTCATAAAAACCATTTTCTTTTATAAGTAAATTCAAATTGAACTGTAATACCTACTCAGAAAGTAAGTGATTTCAGACGCAGCGATTGACTCTTCAACGGGAGCTTGTTTCCGCATGCAATTTTAAAAAGAAGATAATTGCAACTTCTTATCTCACAATTCAGACCCATAATTATGATTTTACATCTTGCAATTTTCTCGGGTGTTAGGATTAGGGTTATTAAAATCTGTTTATAAAAATGTCTGTTTTATAAAAAAGTCAGAATTGTGAGACATAAACTTGCTATTTCGAAAAAAAGTTGCAATTACCTAGTTTATCTTTTTGATTCCGTGGCGGAAACAAGCTTCCGTACTTTTCATTGCTTAAAGGTTCCTGTTAAATTAAGCCCAAAGTGTACTGCGGTTTGTGCGTGTACAATGCGTATATATACAATGCATAATATTATTATTATTATGCAAATTTTGTCACCAGATAAGTACGAACGCATGTTGCACATACTCATTTTGCACTAATCAGTTGTTCCACAAGGTGGCAGCACTGGACCGGGCCGCTGTATCTCAGTGGAAAACGAAACAAAAGAGACAGAACAACAACAAAACAACACCTGAAGAACAACAGACGCCCACAACTGTAGTTTAAAAGAGTGCAAAGATATTTATATCGTTCATAACTTCTGGAGAGAAATAGCGCAGATGCTGGGCAAAGATGAAACTTTCTAAAGCGCATGCATGTGAACGCACGCGATCAAACAAAGTAAACTTTAAAAGGCTACTTGTTCGACTGTACACATTCAATAGCGGAAAAAAACAAGTATACTTTGGGCTTTATTGACGTTTATCACATTGTGATCATGTGTTAAACACAAAGATCTGTTTGTGCAATTTGGGAATTTCAATTGGTTTAATTCATGCGAGGGCTTGAAACACTGCATTTAAAACTAAAATAAGAACAAGTGCTGTTATTAGGATTGACTACAGACACACACACACACGCTTCACAAACCTCCAACATGAGATTACTGTGCTTGACAAACACGTTCTCTCCTTTAATCCGTTTTATGAAACTATACTAGAGAAAGAGTGGGGGAAAGAAATGCGTTCAGCAACTAAATCCACATCTGAAACATTTCACTAGTTCAAATAAACTCAAGCAAACATGTGGGAATGACAAAGACTGTGAGAGCTGATGGAGGATTCCTGTGGAAATGGCTTAAAGTAAACCAGACTAAGAAGGTTTGCTGGTCTTTACTGGTTTATTTGGATTCTCAGCCTTGACCAGTTCAAAATAAAACCCGTACAAGACCATCAAACCTCCTCGAACTGGTTTCTGGATCTCAATACCTGTGTCCTCATGTCAGTGTTGTCCTCAAAGTCAGACTATAATGAGTTTGGGTGAAAGAGACACTCATTATAAACACTCATTTCACAAGCACATGAAGAATAAACACTGAGCTGAAGACGCACACACACACACACACACCTCAGTGGCCGTCGAGTCGTCGTCACAAGCGAAGTCGGTTTGCTCGCTGTCGCTCTGTTTGATTAAAGAACGGATCGCAGCGAGAAAGGAGAAAAAAGCAGATCAAACTTCACACAGATGTTCTTCATGAAGATCACACAGGGATGCGACTCAGATGAAGGAATGGTGTGCGTACACACATGAACAGATGAACCAGACGCGGATGTGTGTGAGAACAAGCAAACACTCTTCATCCAGACAGAGGATGACGTTCAGACGCTTCATTCACAGATGGAAGATCGACTGCGTTCTACATGCAGAGCAAATGACATCCAGACTCAAATCTGAAGATGATCAGTAAGGGTGCGTTCACACCAGCCTCATTTAGTCCGCTTGAGTCGCACTGGAGTCCGTTTTCCCCGTCGGTGCGGTTCGTTCGGGCCGGTGTGAATGCAGCGATCGCACTCGGGTGCGCACCAGACACGAACCAAACAAGCGGACCGAGAGCTCCTCGTAGAGGTCGTCTCGCTACGCTTTCAAGCGAACTCTGGAGCGGTAAGTTTGTGGTGAGAACGTGATCCGACCTCGAACAGACCCGACTGCCAAAGAACTGCGCGTTTCTGGACTAAACCAGCTGCCGTAGTCAAACAAAATGATTATGTAGGCCCTGTCCCAAATGGCACATTCCTCAGAGTCCACACTTCGGTGACGTCATGTAGTGCAGACCTATAGGGCCCTTATGCCGAGTTCAGACTGCACGATTTTAGCCCCGATTTTGGCTCGCCGACAGGTTTTGAGAAATCGCCGACAAATGCCCGAAATCACAGGCAAATCGGTGCTCGTTCACGCGAGTGACAATCACGCAGTGTGAATGAGCAAAGACGCGATCTGAGAGAATCGCCGACGCCCGTGAGATGTTTGGCATGCTAAATATCTGGACCTGTCGGCGATTCACAATCCTGCTGTGTGAATGTGTTCTGACTGAAAACTACATCGGCGATGACCGACAGCCAATGAGAGAGCAAGATACAGGGAGGAGGAGGAGGAGTTATAGACCAGAATATCAGTATTTTAATAGATAGGCTTATATTTACAATTATATCAAACAGAAACAAAGCACAAACATGTGCGTGACCAGCAGCAACAGCAGGACATTTGCAAAATTATTTATTTACCCCCAACTCTCTTTGCAAAACACAGTCCTTGCTCCCCTCGTCTTCCCAACCATTTCCTGCATAAACTGTTTATAATTTTTTTTTCATTTTCGCTACAAATCAGTGCACAGATAATTTGTAGGCTATCATTTTTAATAACAAATTCAGTGTCGCGCGAGAACTCCGGTCTCACGCACGCGTGATCTTCCGTTATTTACTATCACTTCTCGCGTTTGTTTGGTTGTGAAACGTAGTTTGCGGACCAGGCAGAACCAGAAGTTGTCGGCGATTCTTTCTTTTGTAAAGTCATGCAGTGTGAAACCTCCTGTCGCCGATCCATCGTGCAGTGTGAACACAGCAGCAACTGAACGTTACCCCAGATAGTCATGCAGTGTGAAAACAACAGTGACCCGATTATTTTGAAAATCGTGCAGTCTGAACTCGGCATTAGCGCGAGTCCGCGAGGGCGCATTGAGAGGTGTTTTTGGGACAGACTCGATCGCCACGCCGGAAACAGGAAGACGGTCTGATTGTTGTTATGGACAGGAGCTGCAGGTTCGGGGAAATATGCTGACTAGTGTTGTTGTGTTTACATATGACTCAGTAAAGCCCTGATATTCTCTTCTATTTCTGTAATGAATCATAATGCGATCGTATTATTCAGCTCGCTATTATTAGCCTATGTTTGAGACATCAACCACTGGTCGATGATCATAATGTTTGTATGAACTTGTCATAAACACCGCAATGATAATTACACTTTAGCCATGTTAACAATTGTCCGTGAGCGAAATCTCCTCCCATCCGTCGTCTGATTGGCCATATCGCGTCTAGGCGTTGTCGTTTATGAGGGGATTTGCGAAAGGATCAAGCTCGTGCTGATTCTGAACATTCATTGGGTCTCATTCATGAAACATTCGTAAATATCCGAGTAAATATGAGAGTGATTTGCGCGTAAAGAGACCTTGACCTTGAAGTGTGTGTGTGTGTGTTAATGAATTCCAATCAGTCGTAAATGGGACGCGCGTGCACGCTCATTCTCAATTACCATAAATCCCGCCCATTAAATCCGACCGACAACTATATATGGGCATCATATTATGACACCAAACGAAGGATTTCAACGTGTCTTCTCAAAAACGAATGAAAAAGAAAAATTTCTCAGATGCAGAAATCGAAGTTTTATTATCAGAAGTTCATTCAAAACACCACATTTTATGTTCAAGCGTAGGCTACATAGTGGCATATCAGGTCCTTGGCAGCATATAGGGCTTGGGCGCCGCGTTGCATTCTGGGACGTGGCGGCCATGTTGACAGCTTCGCGAATGTAAACATACAGCAAGTCGAACGAGGAGAAGCAGCAGAGTTGGGAGAAAGAAAAGAAAAAAGATGTTAAAATCCCTAAAAGGATGTGGAATTTACCGGGATACGTTAAATAGGGAAGCCAGGGACCGGTATGTGGACAAAATCGGCACTTTTAACGGTTTGGATCAGTGGGAGCACAGTAACTTAATCTGGACAAAGGTAAACTACTCTCCACCTAGCTGCTAGTTTAGTAACAGATAGTGCTAACAAACATTCACACATCTAACGTACTTTTAACTATGTGTTTCAAAAGTGTAGTTCGTAGCTGTTTTAAGCAAAACTTAAGCAAAACGATGCTTAGGGCAAGGGGACAGCAACAGGACAACAGTACAGAGACTGACAGGTCCGATGGAAGGGCTAACGTTAATGTTACGAGAGTATTCAAATACGGGATATTTTACAGGAAAATACTAAAACGGGAAGACGGCGGGAAAAGAGCTCAAATACGTGAGAAGCCCGTACAAAACGGGAGGGTTGACCGCTAACGTTACTAACTACAGTTTTGAAACACATAGTTAAAAGTGCATGTGTGAATGTTTGTTAGCACTAACGGTTACTAAACTAGCAGCTAGGTGGAGCGCATCTTAACGTTACCTTTGTCCGGATTACTGTTTTCCCAGTGTTTGCCGACTCTTTGTTGGAAATTTCATATGGATCCAAACCGTTAAAAGTGCCGATTTTGTCCACATACCGGTCCCTGGCTTCCCTATTTAACGTATCCCGGTAAATTCCACATCCTTTTAGGGATTTTAACATCTTTTTTTCTTTTCTTTCTCCCAACTCTGCTGCTTCTCCTCGATCGACTTGCTGTATGTTTACATTCACGAAGCTGTCAACATGGCCGCCACGCCAAGTAATGACGTCACGACGCCCAAGCTCTATTACAGATGCAGTTAATGGAGTTTTATCTGTTAATCAAACAGTCCCAGAAGTTAAAAAAAAATAACCGTATGTAATTACTATATATAATATTTTTTCAAAATGCATGTACCCGATTTAAGGTGAATTAAAATGCAGCCTTAGTTATTAATGAGCAAAACGTTCGGATGTTAAACTCAGTGTTTACGCGTGGCTGGGAGCAGGAGTAGATTTCTTTCGTACCAACTAACATTTGGAAAATACGAACATTTTAATGAATCCGAAAAGTTACGCCAGAACGAAGTTTCGTTCTGCTCGTGTTTCATGAATGAGAGCCATTGTGAGCGACTTCTCCGCATGTGTGCCGGATCTTCCTCCTCTGTGTTTACTTCCAGGAGTTCTGCTGGAGTTTTCCCGCACGTTAATTCTGACCAATCGCAGTGCAGTTGTGGAAATATGTTCAAGACACATCCTCTGGCCAATGAGTGATGTGGATGTTGTCACGTGACTGCATTTTGGTTCGTTTCATCAACTCGTCAACTGACAGTGTTTTACTGCGTTTGTGTTTGTGTTTACATAATATATGTATAGTATAATTATTTTGTATATATTAATACACACATATGCATATATTTAAGAAAAATGTTATTTATATACAAAATATTTATATATAATATAAATTGTGTATAAATATATATACATACAAATATTTCTTAAATGTATACATACATGTGTGTATGTATATATACAAAATAATTATACACAGTACACACACACACACATATTATGTAAACACAAACGCGATTAATCGTTGCCCAACACAACTGTTAGTTCATGTCCATTCCGTAATATTAAAGGGGTCATGATATGAGAATATATATATATATATATTTTTTTTTGATATATAAGAAACTTTACATTATTAAAACATCCTGCAAGTTTCAGAGCTAAAGCCGCCGCATTGTTTTTCAATGTAAACACGCTCTAAACGGACGACTTTAACCGTTTCTCTCTTAAAATAGTTAAAGTTAAAATAAGTTCTTTTAAAAATGTAAGTCCAGTTTAAACAGCCGGTTTGAGTCTCTGGACAGACTTCAGAAGATCCCAGCGACGGAAACCAGTGATGGTTTTTTATAATGGCGTCCCGGATCCCGTCTGAGGATTATATGTTTGTTTGGAGCATTTCACTACAGATTTTTGTCTGTAAATTAAGGTTTTAATATGGATAATATCTTCAAAACACTTAAGGGAAACAGCGAGTAAGCGTTGATGCGGTTTCCTATGTAATGACGTTAGCCAATCATAACAGTGGGCGTTTACTGACCAGCCTTAAAGGAGCCGCGCCTTAAAACTGATCCTTTCAGACAGAGGCTCAGAATGAGGGTTGAAAATACGTTGTTGTTTTTTTTGCATATGTATTTGTTTTTAAAGTTGATTACAAGTGAATCTCAAGGAACATTAAAATAACAAAAAGAAATCCACGTCATCATCCCTTTGACAGATTCAACTTTTTATTTTAAAGTCCCGCTGTGGTGTAAATCCAGCTTTTAATGTTGTTTATGTGTCTATGTGGTGTTTTTAATACGCTTTAAGACACACCATGTGTAAGTTCATAAGTCGACAGCATTGCTGAGTATTTTCTGCTTAAAACTGCAGTGAACCAAAGACAGTCTCAAAAACACGGTTTGAAATCGCTGGTGTTTCTGACGTCACAAACGACCTTGTAACCAATCAGATCAACGTGTGATCGTCAACCAGTGGATCTCTGAGCTGAGCGAGTGAGTGGAGGCGGGGCTCATTTGCATATTCATAGAACCGCGCATACTAAACGAGGCAAGGGTGTCGAGTTACATTCAAGATATTTTAAGACATGAAGAATTTTTGTTCAAGGAAAAAACGTTTAAATGTGTGATTTCGGTGATCAAAGATGAGTTTCAAGGGATACAATTATTACACAAACACACACACACATATATATATATAAAGAGGTGGCAGGGGAAGTGAGCAGTCTTCTGGCTTTTCCAAACACCACCGATGACAATATCTCGATGGAAAGTCATGAATGAGAAGAGCTGAGATGAGACACACACACACACACACACACTTCACGCTCCGTCACAAACCTCGTCGTCGGAGCTGTCCTGAAAGCCCTGCGCGAGAGACGAGCCGAGCGACGCGGCTTTGGGCTCCAGGTAGCAGAGGCACAGCGCCAGCGGGAAGGACAGCGTGAGCGCGTACGGCACCGAGAACGACGTGGACAGGAGGAAGAAGAAGATGAAGAGGAAGCAGGGGATGAGCGAGGGGGATTTGATGGGCATGAAGTGATGCAGACTCTCGGGGAGGAAGCGCAGCTCGGTGAGATCGGGGAACGTCAGGTACCCGTCGTCGTCCAGCAGCGAAGACATGTCGGGCAGATGGAGGGAGAAGGAGAAGAGCGTGCCGGTGTTGCTCCGGTTCTGGTCCAGTCTCTGCTTGCGCGCGGAGAGCAGCAGCGCTCGCTCTTCCAGGAGAGCCGCTTTACGGTCCGCTTGAGCCTGTCGGCGCCGGCAACCCGCCGTGGTTTTAGCGGGACTGACCGAGGACGCACGTTTACGACTGGATTCCCGGCGTCTCCGGCGCACTTTAGTGGACGACACGGGGGAGGAAGGGAGGGAGAGCTCCGATCCCAACGGATCCGAGGAATAGGGACACGACTGATGAGAACGGGCGGAGAAATGAGGGCACGGGGAAAAAAAAGTAAAAAAAAAAAAGTGATTTTTTTTTTTTTTTTAAGTGAAAGAAATGGGAAAGTATGAAAGCCGAGGGAAATATGCATGGAAATGTGTGCATGTTTTAAACGTGCATTGGAAAAGAGAAGCGAGAAAAGAGAAGCTGGTTAGTGACAGCACAGAACACAGCATTAACTGATTGTTAAGCTTGTAAACATACTCTAATTCTACACATTTATAGTTCACTTCATAAATAGAATCCGGTCATAAAAAGGAATATACAGTATAATATGGTGTTTCCGAGGGAAACGTATGGAAATGTATGCATTTATAAACACACACTAAGAAAAGAGAAGCGAGAAAAGATTGTGGTTAGTGACAGGATAGAAAACAGCAGTTTGATTAATCGGTCGTTAAGCTTATTAACAGTCTAATTCTACACATTTATAGTTCACTTCATAACTAGAATACGGTTCATAAAAAGGAGTTTACAATATACTGTGGAATGTCACGGAAATTTGCAACATTTGGATGAATAGATCAAAAGCTGTACGTTTAATGGTCTTGGTGAATATTAAAACACTTCAATTGATCATTTTGATTATTAAAATGGAAAACAGAATTGGAGAAAAAAATAAAACCAAATTTTGAAAAAATGTAATTTTACTAAAATATTTTTTTATGAATTCAATTGATTAAGCATTTGTTTTGATTATTAAAATAGAAAACAGAATTGGAGAAAAAATAAAACCAAATTTTGAAAGAATTTAATTTCACTAAAATAATAAGATTTGAATAAATTGTCAAAGTTTTATAAATTCAATTGATTAAGCTTTTGTTTTGATTATTAAAATAGAAAACAGAATTTGAGAAAAAATTGAATAAAATTTAGAAAAAAATTAATTTTACTAAAATAATGAGATTTTAATAATTTGTTAAAGTTTTATGAATTTAATTGATTAATCATTCATTTTGATTATTAAAATAGAAAACAGAATTTGAGAAAAAAATAGAAAAAAATTAATTTCACTAAAATAATGAGATTTTAATGATTTGTTAAAGTTTTATGAATTCAACTGATTAAGAATTCGTTTTGATTATTAAAATAGAAAACAGAATTTGAGAAAAAATAAAACCAAATTTAGAATTTTTTTAATTTTACTAAAATAATATTTTAATAAATTGTCAAAGTTTTATGAATTTAATTGATTAAGCATTTGTTTTGATTATTAAAATAGAAAACAGAATTGGAGAAAAAATAAAACCACATTTTGAAAAAAAAATATTTTACTAAAATAATAGATTTTAATAAATTGTCAAAGTTTTATAAATTCAATTGATTAAGCATTTGTTTTGATTATTAAAATAGAAAACAGAATTTGAGAGAATTTTTTTTTTTAGAAAAAAATTAATTTCACTAAAATAATGAGATTTTAATCAATTGTCAAAGTTTTATGAATTTAATTAAGCATTCGTTTTGATTATTAAAATAGAAAACAGAATTTGAGAAAAAAATAAAACCAAATTTTGAAAAAATTAAATTCCACTAAAATAATCTTTTTTGAATTTAATTGATTAAGCATTTGTTTTGATTATTAAAATAGAAAACAGAATGAGAATTTTTTTTTTTAGAAAAAAATTAATTTCACTAAAATAATGCGATTTTAATAATTTGATAAAGTTTTATGAATTCAATTGATAAAGCATTCGTTTTGATTATTAAAATAGAAAACTGAATTTGAGAGAGAAAAAAATTAGAAAAAAATTAATTTCACTAAAATAATGAGATTTTAATAATTTGTTAAAGTTTTATGAATTCAATTGATTAAGCATTCGTTTTGATTATTTGGAGAGAAAAAAAAGTGACAGGAC